CCTGTTCTTTAAAGCAAGAAGTTTGCAACACCCTGTGCTACATCCGTGCTGTTGCAGCGTGAGCCCCAGTGTCGCTGGGGCAGCTGTGCTCACGTGCCTCGTTACGGGATTAATTGTCGGGCAGCGCGTACACCCCGTAACGAAGGGTTACTTCTCAGAATCAGAAGGTTAATGTGAACAAAAGTTCATGTTAGGATTAAAGAGCTTGTAGTTTAAGACAAAAAAAAATGCAGCCACTGGCTATTGTGTGCTGTTTATCTTCAGGAACTGCAGAGGAGAAAGCAGGGTTGGTATGAAAGCAATGAGTGTCAGAGGGACGCAGGACAGACTATACCAGAACCATCAGAGCACCTTATTAACACTGTGGTTCTCACTGAATCAGCCACAAACAAATTTCTACAGTCTGTGGGCTTTGTTACCACTCCTGGCTGAGGTTCAGTGCTGACAAAAATAAAATTGCATGTACGCTGTGCACTCTGTGGGAGGATTCTCCTAGTGCCAACGGAAGCATTGTCTGTTCGCCTTTGAAGAAACGCAACATTTGCTACTAAGGAATGAAAATAGAATTTTCCTAAATTACACAAAAAAAGAAATTAGAAACCAAATGGCATCACTGTTGGTCTTAATATGGTCTAGGACACACTTAGCAGAATGTCCTCACACACTAAACGTCTCCAGAAGCATTGCCTTCGAAGAATAAAGGGGTTTTAAGAGGATTTAGTGGCACTTTCTTTAAAGCAGTTAAGGCAGTGTTTTGTTAAAACCCTGAACAAAAATTAAGGTATCACTCCATTGTTAATATACTACAAGCAGATGGCAATAGTGAATAATGAGATGGGTTATTCCAGTTTTTCTTACTAGAAATGGCTTACAGGATTTAAACATCCTCTTGTTTTTGTGGGGTATCAGGAGAGGAGTTGCAAAGAGAACTTGGCATGTTCCCTCAGTTGGCTTTTGGGCACCTCTTCCCAAGATGCTGAGGTCTGGCTGCCTTTCTCACCACTGTGGAGATGTAGCTGGCTGACAACTGACATGCACACACCAACTACATGCAATCAAAACCAGCCCTGGAGCAGAAGGACTGAAGCAGCTGTGACCTCTCCAAGGCAGGGTGTTTGGGAACATCTGCTGTTGGTCCATGTCCTGGCTTTACTGTATTGCCTACAGGTTAGTCATGACATCTTCAGGAGGTTATTCACTTATGGAAAAGGATGCCAGATGAATTTGGCTTAGCCACTCTGTTGTTGTAAAATAACTTTTTGGCTTATAACGTTTGGAAAAAAAACCCAGGTATCCTAGAGGGGTTGTCTCTGGTAGCAAGGAGGAGCAGTTGGTGGCTTTGTTGTGCTCTAGAGCAGCAGGGACAGCTGTGAAGGACTGGATGCAGAGCTGTCTGAAGCAGCTGCTGGTTACCTTGCCAGTTATCACACAGCTATGCTTTGTCTTTCCTGGGCATCTTCTGAACATGGTGATAGTGCCAAGAAAACTTTACACGTCTGTTGTGGAGGAAGTTAAGCTTGAAGGCTCCTCTCTTGGGTTTGGAGGATCTCTGAATCTGACTGAGGGAAAACAACGTTTAACTGGAAAGTCAGAAAGGTTGAGATGCAGAATCTTTGCTGTCCTTCCATTTCTGTAGAGTGAGAAGAATCATCTAAGGACCAGGACACATACGAGTCTCTCTGGAAAAATGATAATAATTCCTGATTCTGAATTATCACGCATGTGAATATGCTACTTTTACTTTAATCAGTAGGAAATGTGCTTTGTCAACTGTGAATGGTGCTGTAGTAAGAACTGATCTGGCTACAATATCATGTAGGGTGTGCATGGAGGAACAGCAACCACTTCAGACATCAAGAAAAAAAGATAATTGGATATCAAGTGCAGGATTTCTGTGTAATTGTCTGGGAGAAAGTGCATGTGTGAGTTGGAGGGCTTTAAAAAAGCAACAAAAGCTGTTCCTGAGTAGAAAAACTGTTGTCTTGTGACTCCATCTCCACCAAAGTATTGTAGTATTATTCTCCACAGATGATAAATCTCTGAGCCAGTAAGTCACTCTTAATTTCTTTCGACTCTAGACCTCTGCAGATCTCTGCTGCTCATACTGCCAAACACTCTAGGACTCCATGCTGTAGGTCACATCAATCTGGGACCAGTGGGGTTTTCCAGATGTGTAGTTTAATCATGAACTGGTTATTTCCCAGCCCTGTTCCTGCAGACGCTTTACATAGGCATTGAGAGTTCCTTTTGGACAGCTGAGAACTGAGAAATAGCAAGGGGTTTCTCCCGTCAGAGTAATGATGAGGGGAAAATGGATGAGAATTTCAGAGAAAGCATGAAAATGTTCTCTTGAACACAATGGTCCCAATCCTGACCTGTGCAGAGCATGTCCTAGGTTCACTCTGACTTTATGAGCATTAGGAGCTAAACCAAAATGTGGAGCAGCTCTTGGACTGTGGCTTTGACAAATAATTGCTGCTTAGATGTTTGATCTTTTTAGAAATTACACCTGTTTCCCACATTATTTTTTCTGCTGATTGGCTTCTCTGGATTGCTTTTGGTCTGGACAAGTGAAGTGCAAGCCTGCAAGGTGGACCCAGTTGGACTTCCACAGCCCAGAGTGAATGTTGGCTCATGGGGTAAATGGTGCTGCCATGTGTGGTGGGTCCACCCCCTGTGCCAGGCAGGGAAAATCTGCCTGTATCGAGTGCACCGAGGGCAAGAACTAATGGGTAGAGGATCAAAAAGTAACTAAGGAAACCCTCTTGAACCAGGGGTTCTTCTGCAGTGGAAGAATAAATCCTGCTGTGTGGAAACAGGAGCTTCAGGGTTTCCTTCCTGCCGAGGCAGCTCTGTTGTGAGGTGCTGCTGGCTAGTGCTGGGATTTGTCTGTCAAGCCAAGGCTTGCAGCATCCCGTGGGTCAGGCAGGCCCCCACATCGAGCATTATGATAAAGAGGTTTGCACTTCTGCAGGCCTTGGGCTGGAGGGAGCTTTTCCTGGGTTCCTTGGGAATACGTGCTGCATTCTGCTTGGCTGGGGAGCAGCTCCTGCTGCTCTTTGTCTCTTTTCTGCCCAGGGCTCCCTCTGCACACGAGGTACGTTCTCTCAGCCCTGCCTTCAGCTGCTCAGGTTTGGGGTAGAGCTCCTAAGGTCATTTTATCCATCCCCTGGCACCCCTGCAGCATCAGTGCTGATGCACTCATTTAATGATTTGCCTGCTGCTTCTGACAGATGATTGTTTAGTCTCATGTCATGTGATGGAGCATCCCCAACTTCTCTTGACATCTTGCTCAGTTGCTTTGCTGTTCTTTTTTGCAGTTCATCCTGGGCATTGTTTACTTAGTTGAACTGGAGTTACTGTTTGTTTCTTCATCGGTGCTTTATCATGTTGCTGTTTCTGTACACTTCCCATAAGTTTTTTTCCTCACAGCTGAAGACTGATTGCCCTGCGTGGGCTGGGCTGTGTGAGAATGAGGGGCTTGGGGAGGGGGGGGTGGCACCTTGGAGGCCATTGATCCCATCTTTATAACTTTGCCCTTTTAGCTGGGAACAGATTGTGTGGTGGCACAGACAGAATCCGAAGGACCAAACTTTACATAAACCATTTGTACTAAATGTTGGGAGTGCAGGCAACATAAATCAACTACAATATCTATTACAAATTTATCACTTGATCAGTGTTACCCGGGATAGAGGGGGTCCAAACACGTGGGGGGGTGCACTGTGCCTCGGGAAGTTTAGCCCTCTCAGCAATTAATTATTCAGGACACACAGAGCCTGGCCCCTTCAATGTATAGTAATTCTTTCTAGCCAGCATCCAGGTCTCTAACTTCAGTGGCAATAATAAATAGGAAAAGTCTCAGGTGAAGCCAGTATTTCAAAGTCATTAATCATCTTCCACTCGCGGTCCCTCCGCCTCTCTCTCGCTTTCCTTTAACGAGGGAATTTCGGTAATAAATCTTTAACGATATGTGCTAAGAATCCTCCATGAATTCTCGCCTGGCTTCTTTCTCTTTTTTTTTTTTTTTTTTTTTTGGTGCTTTTACGTCGTGTGTGGGGAAGTATAACGCGTGTAAAAGGGGGAAAAAACCAAAAGCAAACGCGGTGCTTGGAAAAGCCGCCGCTCCGGCAGCGCCTCCGCAAGGCGCTTCCTCGGGGCTGCGGGACGCGACGGGGCGGGA